AACTCGACTTTTTGACTGCCCAGTCGTTCGTACCAAAACCTCCAACTCATTGATGGTGGTCGCCGGACGAAGCCGCCGCTATACACCAGTCACAAGCACGATGTCGAGTTGCCACAGCTGCAGGCAGGTCAGACTCCTTGAGCGGCATCCCACCTCACCTTCAAACCGGCTCTGTTGAGTGTGGTGGAGTCTGTGCAGTCTGTGCGAGTTCCAGAAACACGGCAAAGACCCCTGCCGCTCCCGCTCACCGCACCCGCCTCGAGACATGATGCACCCCGAGCTTGCAGCTCGCCAGTCAGCGCAATACCCGGTCGGCGATTGAATTGCACCATATGAAAATCTCGGATCGTCTTGGGTATATTTGAGATCCGACAGCCGTAGATGATTCCGGCTAGGCGAAAAAGTTTGGACAAGAAACCTTTGGATTTTGTTTTTGCATAGTCGAGCGATACCCCTTTTCTTGGTTTAGATGCAGCAATTGACGATTTCTACGCGGTATTGGTGTCTGAATAATCGTGGGCTACGATCTTCGGGTATTCTCCTATCACGGCTTTGTTCCCCTCTCTGACGCGTAGCGACGAGAGACGCGTACGGGAAAATCTAGATCGGTGATCGATCGGTAAACACAAACTAGGCAGGATGAGTGTCTAGTCCATTCCTGTGATTGGGACCTGGACTTTGCTAATTATGTGGTCGATTTGCGAGGTCCGAAACTCCCCCCTTTGGACGCAGGGATCAGGGATCAAGTTTGTTGCGCAACCATTCGGCCTGTGCCTGCGCCATGGCCTGCGCCAGTCCCTTTTCCCACCCACAACCACAGCACAGCACAAACAAAAAGCACAACCCTTGCAATCATCAGCCGAAGCCTGAGATCCCTCCGACCCCTCTCTGTAACAGGTCAGCGCCAGCCACGGCTCCGACCCAGAGTACAAGTACCCAAAAGTATTTGGCGGAGGCCGAGAACCCTCGTTCCAGATACAGTAAATACCATGGCCTATCCCCCCAAGCCCACAGTTTGCCCCTGAGCTTGTCCGACTCTGGAAGAATTAGGCTTTGGTCTGAGATATGCCAGAGTCTTGGTCTTTTTCTCCCTTGCTGGGCCGCGCCGCATCATTGGGGAACATGTGTCAATTATTCGTGCGAGCCTTGGAAATTCGAGATGCTTGTCCTTGTCCCTAGCTAATTCCCTTTTGCTCGGTGCAGCTGGTCTGATGCTTCCCAACTCACCGTCGCTCCTTCAGTTGACCTCTCTTTCTTTGAGAGACTTGGGATCCCATAAAGAGCAGCAGCTGTGTGTGGGAGGAAATCATTAACACACAGACCTCGCCCTCCTTTTCGGCCCCCCCTCCTTTTCCATCCAGTCCCGTCCTCTCGATCCTTCAGCAATGGATCTGAACCCCTCGTCTCGGAATGGAAACCCTCTACAACAACTCTACGGGTCGCGGCGGTCATTACGCTGGATCGTGTTGCTCGTGCTCGCGGCCCTCGCCATCATTTATATGACCGGAACGACCTATGAGCCCTACAGCGCGGCCGGAGGTGGCGGGACTAGCTACTCATCATCCTCATCGGGGTTTAAACATTCACACAAGAAGCAGGCGAAAGCCCTGAGTCCGGTGGATTTGATGAAGAGACCCATCTCCCGCGACCTGCAGACCATCCCCAAGCTGATGCACCAGAGCTGGGCGTCAACCGAGCTGCCTGCCAAATTCGAGCGCTGGAGTTCGACGTGCAGGCAACAACACCCGGACTGGGAGTGGGTGTTGTGGACGGACGAGGACAATGAAGAGTTGGTCCGGACACATTTTCCCTGGTTGCTGAAGACATACCTGGGTCTGCCCAGCGTCATCTACCAGGCGGATTTGGTGCGCAATCTCTACATGTACATGTTTGGAGGGTGAGTACTTTGGGAATACAAACATGCGCAGAGGTTGAGCTGACCGATGGGTGCAGGGTGTATGCTGATTTGGATGTTGAATGTCTCCGACCTGTCGACGAGATGTTTGCTCAATACAACGTGACGACCGCGTCGCACGCCAAACCCAAACCACAATCTGCCCAGAACATGCTGAAGAGTGGTCGAAAAGCCTTCTTTGGCAGAATGGGTACCGACCACGGCTCCTCCAACTCGATCCCCAACGCCTGGATGGCTTCGACGCCCGGTCACCCCTTTTTCCTGATCGTGCTCGAGTCGGTCATGAAGAGGATGACGGAAGAAGGGGACATGGACAACGTGGAAGGCATCACGGGTCCAGGAAAGCTGTACGACATGATCAACGAATACCGCCAGGAGGACAGCAAATGGGCAGGGGAGGCTCTGGACAAGCACGTGTCCAAGAATCCCACGGCAAAGCAATTCAACCCGCGCAAGGGATTGAAACATACCATCGAGGTGCTCCCTTTCCAGTACATTTACCCGTACTCGTGGGAGCGAGACGGCGAGGCTTATCGAGAGGTGTGCTGGGCTACCAAGGAGGCCTTCAACGCCGAGCGATGCAAACAGCTCCTCGCCACCGATCACTGGCCGAGTTATACAATTACCTACTGGAGTCACACCTGGACGAGTGGCGGTCATGACGACGGCAATGTACAGAAGCTTGAAATGGCCGATCGATGAGGAAACAAGGGGTAGGGGTCGATTACGGAGCCAGCATATAAGACATTTACGTGCGCGCCCAGGGAGTTGGAATGTTTTTTTGATGAAGGTTTGTACCTGGATGGTTCTATCCCCTGGCGAGGATTTTCGTTTCTTGGAGTACAAAAAGATGTCTTCTTTTTTGGGGCCAACTTTTTTTGTTTTTGTTAACGAAGATCATTAGATGAGAGTTTTTGTGCCGGCTAGGATTTTTCTTTGGTCGTGATATTTTTTGCGCGGCGTCGGGGAATGGAGGAAGGAATCTATATCTCTGTGTATATCATCGGCATGTCATCGTCGTTGTTGTCGGTGTCTTGTTTTTGAGAGAGGGGAGAAGGGCAGAATTAGGGGTATGGGTTGACAAGATGAAGAAGTCCGCGTTCTCAGTCCCAGGTGTCAGTTGTCTGTCTCGTCCTGTTGGATGATAGACAGTGGAAAACGAACTCAGATCAATGAAATAATAGAAGTATGGATCTTATGGGTTGTAATACCAGACGTTTCTACTATTGAGCATTCAAGCCTTCTCCACTGGTTTTTGAATGAATAAAGGAGGGGAAGAGGTTGACGGAGAAAAGAATACCGCCTATGTATCGTATCTTTGTCTTGCCCTGGCCTCGCATTGGAGGGTAAAATTGATTGTTCAGTTCTGTTCTGTTCAGTTCGGCCATTCTCCGCTATCCCGCTGTACCGAGTACTGTGATACCCGTTATCTATCCAAGGTATCCAAGATGAACCGTTTTCTTGCAGTGCTCGAGTCTCTCATCTCGTTGTCCTGATATCGTCGTCCCTCTTCGAGTAGGCTTCCATCTGGTTGATAGCTATATCCGGGCGATTGGTGGTTGTGGACGAAGTTGGTATTTCTCTCACTACACAGCACAGTACAGAACAGTACAGCACAACACAGCAGTTGAAGAGTGCATTCAAGTCGTATATGACCGTGTATGTGATCAGCTTGAAGAAGATCAATAGATGGTGATTGAGACGAACCAGGGACTGATACATATCTACGCTCTCTATCCTGCATCTCACATAACTATTACTGAGTGACTGACTGGTCTGTCGGAGTTGACCACTCGATCTCTCATATATAGTCGATAGAATCCGCTGCTGGGGTTTATTGGAGGAGGGCAGAAAAGGAGGGCAAAAAGCAATATCAACATATCAACATATCATTATATCATTATATCAACACAAACGGCTTACACACACACTCTCTCTCTCTCTCGGGTACCAAAAGCAATATGCCTTTTCTCGAAATCTCCCCCTCGGTGCGCATCAACTACACGATCCACCAGCCCTCCACACCGACAGAAAAGCCGTGGGTCGTCCTGATCAACGGCCTCGCCGACTCGCAGACCACATGGGCCGCGCAGACCCCGGCCTTTACGGGTGCGGGATACACGGTGCTCACGTACGACAACCGCGGCATTGGGCTGTCGTCGCGGCCCGAGAGCGACGACGAGGTCTACACGGCCGAGACCATGGCGGAGGACCTGCGTATCCTGGTCACAGCACTCAAGTTGCACGGACCGTACCACCTCATGGGCGTCAGCATGGGCGGCATGATTGCGCAGACCTACGCGCTGGCGTACGGCGCCTCTGGAGAAATCGCCAGCCTCACCCTGGCGTGCACGTACGCCGCGCCGGGACCTTTCTGTAGCAGGATGTTCGCCCTGTGGCGCGACATGGCGCAGCGAATGTCCGTCGCCGATGTCATGCGCGACGTGGCCCTGTGGGCATTCACGCCGGCCTGCTTCGCCGTCGACTCGGTCGAGCTCGTTGCCATGGAGGCAGACATGGCCCGCATCGACAGCGACATGGGCCTGCGCGCCTATCTGGCCCAGTTGAACGTCATCACCACGTTCGACACGCGCGCCTCGCTGGGACGGCTGGGACAGATTACGCTGGACGTCAAAGGTGGAAGTGGAGGTGAGAAATCAGAAGGAACAGCAGCAGCAGCAGCATCATCATCATCAAAGATCAAGACCCAAGTCATCGTCCTCGCCGGCGAATGCGACATCTTGATCCCCGTATACCTGTCCCACGAGCTACACGCCTTCATTCCCGGGAGTCGGTGGCGCACCACCAGGGGCGGGCACGCCTGCATGTGGGAGTATCCGGACCAGTTCAACGAGGCGTGCCTGGAGGAGTGGAGGGACGTGGATGAGAAGATTGGTGTTGCTCGTCAAACCAAGTAGGCTGGCGAGGGGGTGGGAGGGTACGAGTCTTGCTTGTGCGTTGTGTTGTGTGTTATATTACTTGCGAGCGAGCGGGCGAGTGAATGAATGAATCAACGACTGAAGGACTCTCTCTCTGTGTGTGTGTCACGATAACATTTTCATACTCTTCCCTATGTACTTCCCGCTCAGCCCACCAGCCTGAACCCGCGATCCGTCTTCTCCCACTTGACGTCCATCTTCTGGGCCAGGCGCAACACCTCGTGGGGGCTGTGGACGTCGCTGACGACGGCGCGGGCGTCGCTGGTCAGGGGGTGCGAAAACGCCGCGAGGCTCGACGCCTTCCACAGCAGCGTGTGCTCGCGCACCGTCATGGCCATGGTGCCGAGGAGCAGCACGAGCGCCAGGCCCAGCAGCGCCGCCGGCAGGGCGATCCAGCCCCAGCGCACCAGCACGTGCGGGCGGTCCTGGTACACGGCGCCCAAGGCCGCGGGGACGGCGTCCGTGACGAACGCGTACGACCGAATCGTGTCGCTGAGCGATTTGGCCAGGCTGGCAAACATGCGCTGGAACTGAACGAGGGGCGTCTCCTCGTAGAACAGCGCCCACAGGAACAGCGCGATCGCGCTCGTCGGCGTGTTTGTCGGGGGCGACCCCGACATGAGTACCTGGCCTTGCCACTGCGTAGCGAAAAACTCCCGCATCGCCCCGATGTTGTTGCTCTGGTACACTCGGATGTAGCTGGCCGGGTCGGACTGGTTCGTGAAGGACGTCGGCGGCTCCAGCGCGTACACCCCCGGTGAGGTGTAGTTGCCGGTCGAGTAGGTGTCGACGACGCGTTCGCTGAGCCGCCCGCGCGACACGGACGTGTTGAACTTTTGCACGCAGTAGTAGATGCCGCACTCAAAGGCCTGCTTGGTGGCGATGCCGTTGATGTCGCTCGCCGGCACCAGGTTCCCCCACGCTTCGACTCCGGGGCCCCATTGCGTCTGGATGACCGAGAGCACCGACAGGGCCGTGGCACCGTCAAAGTGGATCGCGTTGGTCGTGTTGGCCGACACGTCGATCGACGAGTAATTGGCCGACGGCACCCCCGACACGGTCAGCCCGTTGGGCAGCGAGTAGTTGCAGTAAGGGAGGGAGATGTCAGAGGCACCAACATCCTGCGAGGGTACCAGTTGCGTCCCGCACGATTTCTGCAACGAGGCCGTCACGTCGTGGCACGCGCTGCACACGGCCATGGACGTGTACGTTTCGTGCCACGTGCAGTTCCCCGTCGGGCACGACACGTTCTTCACCTCGGACAGGTCCGTGTACTGGTAGATGCCCGAGTAGATGGCTCCGACCATGTCGTTGGAGATGCTGGTGGCTATTCAACGGGGTTTGTCAGCTCAGATTCATCATGATGGAGGATAAGAACACAGGTTTAAGCCAGGAAGGGGCTCCGAGGGAGATACTCACTGAGAGAGTTGCTCCCCCAGTCCAGATTCGTGCGTGGGATCCGTGCAATGTCAACCTGCACGGGCTGTAGCGGATAGACCACCAGAGCTTGGAACGCGAAGCCAGTTCCCAGGGCGGCAATCACGATCACGGCACCTAGACACGCGAGACGTCTTTGTGGTTCAAATGTCAGCTTCTCATGATCACGATCGGGGAGGGGTGGTAAGAAAGAGATGATCTCCAAGGATATGATATATGTGACATACCGACAACGCAACGTCCACAATAGCACAAGCGACCCCAGGGGTCCACGAGCCGCCGACTCGAACTTTTGGAAATCAGCCAGCGGCCGCTTCTCGTTCTGGAACCAGATCCATTTCAACTGGCTGATGCTGGCAGCGACGGGGATCAGGAGGCCCGAATTGAAGGCCGTCGCAAAGATGGAAATGATGGTGTTGATGGTCAGGTCAAATGATTTGCGGTGTCGCCCGGCGCCCACGTGCAGCGTCCACGTCGGCGCTTCGTGTCCGTTGTGCACGGCCAGCAGCGCGATCGTGCCGATCAAGCAGCCCAGCGCCAGCGTCCAGCCAAAGAACTCGAACAGCCAGTACTTCTCGACGACGTTGAGGATTCGTGCTGCCAGATCCCGAGTTGGTGGTGGCGCCTCGATGCCCTTCTCCGACGGTGGCAGGGCCGTGGTTTCTGGGACATCCTCGATCTTGATATGGCCTTGCCGTTTGGAGCTGTCGAGGGCTTCCATTGGGAATGCTGTCATGTCCGGCGTCGTTGTTTTTGGTATTTCTGCTGTCGTTGTCACTGCTACAGCTGCTCCTCTCGTTCAGAAAGACGGCGATGCCGGTCCCGCGTCATATTATTGAAATGGCGTCTCCTGAGCGCCTTCTTCCTAGTAGCTTTCTTTCACGTGTCTGGCAAACACGAGTAGATAGCCAGCCATATCTGGACCTCAACGGCGAGCCCGTGGTGGCGTCGCTTTTGAGTAGCTGGATGCGGGGCTCCTAACGAACAATAGTTACCCGAGCCACAGGTAGCGGGTGAGTGGATCGGGATCAGGCAACGTCCCCGCCGAAATTGCCCGAAAGGGGGAGGGACATGGCTTGAAAGAGAAAAGGAAAAGTGGAAATTACATAGACGACCGATTAAGCGGCAGAAACCAGATTTGCAGGAGGGCACAGCAAACACTCGGTCTGTGTGGTCGGCGTTGGTCTGGACTCGCCTGGATGGCCGAAAAGGGGTGGATACTGTGGGTCCAGCCTTGTCTCCACCTTCCCAACTAGTGTTGTCCCTTGAGACAGACCTGCATAGTCGAAGCCAAAAAACACCATATTATCTTGATGCTCCAGGGTTCTGGCTCACCCCCAGGGTGCCAGGCTAAGAGGATCGGTGGAGTCCCTCGCATCGAACCCCCTCAAAATGTGCCTCTGATTGTTCCTTTCGAGCCAAACTTCGACGCCGTCGCCAGCACCAATATGCTCCCCTAAGAGTTTTTTTCTTTCTATCTTTGGCGAAAGATGCCCCTCGCTAACAGAAATCTCCCGCGCGGACTTTTGTGCCGCAACGACTCGGGTACGAGGAAACAGCCCTGTCCGCCACGTGTGATCCGCCAAACATCGAGCTCGCCATCGACCTCGTCCATGCTTTGAGCTATCCCCCCTTTTAACGCTTAGGTACCTACAAGGACATTGTACTTGTACACTTAGGGCTCCAAGGCAAGCGAGGTCTCGTGCCGATGGATCTGCCAGAGGTCCAATTTTTCCTCTCTCTCTCTCCAGGGCGGGTCTCTGCAGTCACTTTGGGGCATAGCTCCTCGTTCTGGTCCTGGCTTTGTCTCTGTCCATTCTCCTTTGCCATGTTTGTGGCTTGCTGTGCTCTGCTGCTGTGCTCGTTCTCGGCGCATCTGAATTGAAACCTTGTCGCCGCATAGGGAGCAAGTCCGGATTGTGGCTCCGCGCGAACAGCGCAAGGAAAAAAAATGATGTGCTTGGAGATTTGCCGGTAAGGAACGGCCGCCTCGTGGAGCGGGACGGCTAGAAAGGTAAGAATGGCTCATCTTCCCTCGATGTGCCTCCTCGTATAACTATCTCCTTCGACCTTCCGTCCTTCTTTTCAAAGCCGCGCATTCTTTGCTTCTTGCGGACAGGAATTATTTTTCAGGTCAGGTAGTTTCATCCCCCTTACCACCTTACATACCTTGACAGGATGGTCGTCAAAGACGCCATTGTGACGGTACAAGACGCCATGTCCGACTACCAGGACAAGCAGTCGACGCACTACACCACCCGCAGTATCGAGATGACACGACAGTCCTCGAGTCCTATCAACAGAGTTCCCTACACGACTCAACGGCAGCTCACTGACAGTGACACCGACGATGAAGGATTGACCCAGCTTGGTATGAAATGGCAGCGGATAAGGAGAAATGTCCTCCTGCGGTACATCATCTACATTGTGCCTGTGGCCGTCCTGTTGGCCATCCCCATTGTCCTCTTCGCCACGGTATACAAGGACTCGAGGATCATGTCCACTTACAAAACAACGTCGACAACCCCGCTCACCACCACCAACGTCACCCATGTCGACCCTGTGACCGGCAACAGCACTTCCGATGTCACTTCGCTGTACAACACCACAACCGCAACCATCTACGAGACTACCACCCACACTGAACACCGTGGCATCCGTCTGCTGGGTCTCTTCATCTGGATCGAAGTTGTCTGGGTCCTGCTGTGGGTTGCCAAACTGCTGGCCCAGGCGGTCCCGATCGTGTTCCAAACCGTCGGTGGAGCCATTCACACGGGCATCCGCAAGTACTGGCTGGTGCTCAAGGCGGTGGAAATCCCGCTGTCGCTCTTTTTCTGGGCCATCCTGTCCATCGCATCCTACTCGCTCATCTACGTCTTTGACCAGGACTTCCACAATGACCACGCCGGCAAGATCAAATGGCTCCACACGCTGCACAACGTGCTCAAGGCCTCGATCGGCGTCGCGGCCCTGTACCTGGTGGAGAAGATGCTCATCCAGATGGTCAGCGTCAACTACCACGGCAAGCAATTCTACGACAACATCAAGGAGTTGAAGACGCTCAGCCGGGCCATCGAAACCATGTACGACGTCTCGCGTCGACGGTTCCACGACAACCATCCGGCCTTTATCGAGGATGACCTCGATATCCAGGACACCAAGGGATACCGCAAGGACCGGCTCGGTCGACTGAGGAGCAAAGATCAATCCACGGCCATCTTGATGACCAATCTCGGCAACGCCGCCGCCAATGCCACCTCGGTGCTCGGATATCTCGTCAGCGACATTGCCGGCAGACAGGTGCTCATGCCCACTGCGTCTGGCCCCGTCGTCGAAGCCGCACTCGAACGGCCCGTCAGCACCGAAGCCCTCGCCCGCCGGATCTGGAACTCGTTCACCAACTTTGGCGAGACCAAGCTGGATCAAGCCGCCATCACGGCCATGCTCGGACCGGGCCACGAAGACCAAGCCCTGTACATCCACTCCAAAGTCGACGCCGACGAGAATGGCGACCTCACCATGGAAGAGATGGTCGACCTGGTGAAGAAGGTCGCCAACGACCGAAAGACCATCTGGGAAGGGGCCAACGACGTCAAAGATGCCATCAAAGTCCTTGACCGCGTGCTGGGCGTCATCGTCTTGATCTTCGTCTTCCTCATCTACGCAGCCTTCTTCTCCGACTACCTCGCCAACCATTACACCCAGATCTGGTCGACCTTTACCGGTTGTTCGTTCCTGTTCGCCAGCACCGCCGGTGAGCTCTTTGCCGCCTGTATCACGGTCTTTATCAAGCATCCCTACGACGTCGGTGACCGCATCATCGTCAACGATAGCGAGATGGACGTCGTCAAGATTTCCCTCCTGTATTCCGTCTTCCGGGAGGTGCAGTCGAAGCAGATGATCCAGATCCCCAACAGCAACATCAACGGCGTCTGGATCAAGAACGTCACCCGGTCGAAGGAGCTCAGGGAACAAATTTCGCTCAACGTCTCGGTGGGGACGTCGTTCGAGGACATTGAGACCCTTCGCGGGGAGATGCTCAAGTATGTCAGCGAGCACAAGCGCGACTTCATGCCCATGGTGGACATCCAGCTGATCTCGATCGCGGACCTGTCCAAGCTCGAGCTGCGTGTCGAGTTCCAGCACAAGGGCAACTACGCCTCGGACTTTGTCCGCGCACAGCACCGCAGCAAGTTCGTGTGCGCGCTGCTGTCGGCGGTGCGCAAGGTGCCCATCGACGGTCCCGGCGGCGGCGGCCCGTCAGCCGGATCGATGGAATCGCCCAACTACACGGTGGCCATCACCAGCGACGTGGCCAAGGCGGCCAAGGCGCACTTTGACGAGGAGAAGGACAAGAAGCGGATGATCCCCAAGACCCACGGGCCTGCCGCCAGTGAGATCGGGGTGGCGGTCGGAGGACCCGTGGGCAGCACGGGGCTCCAGGTCCAATCCAGCGAGGCGCGAAGCAGGACTGGCGGTTCGGGGCCACGGGGCTCGGACGACTTCACCAATATTTCTCTGCATAGATGAGGATTGTTGCCCGTCGTGAAGAATGGATCTGACTTATGATGAGGGGTCCGAAGACGAGACAAGGCTTATGGTTTTAGAAATTTCATTGGGTTTCGGCATCTATTGACTGGCAAGCGTAGATTTGTACTTTTAGCTCAGCAGGTGGTCTTTTGTGTGTCTGTGACTTTTTTGAACTCCAGACCGAGTAATATACCTCCGCTATTTGTTTGGGGTTGAGAGGGGGCTATAATAATGAGAAATGGTCCTTTGAGAAATCCATCCAAAATTGTGGTTTTTCCCCAAGAAACAGATGGCTCTAACATAGCCTCTCTTTTAACGATCAAATAAAGGTCGAGAGGACTTGCAGTAATTTACTAATACCCTTAGGTTGGCTTGTCTTGTTTGTTATATTTGCTACTCGGCGAGGCTGCGCAAGGCTGAACCAAGATCATCGGCGTTTGGAGAAAAAATCTTATGTCATCAGCCGAGGTCTTTCAGTCCGAATCCCCGACCAACTTCGGGAAGCTACACGAGTACAACAAGCAGACGAGGCTTTGACGACGACGACCACCAAGTCACTCCATTTTTGTCAGGAAAGACGGGAAAGGCGAGGACAAGGACAAAGACAAGATAAATCCCAACCACAAAAAAATAAAAGACCCAGGACTGAGAGGACTTGTCAAGCGAGTCAAGTCAGTCAGCATCTCTCCCCAAGTCGATCGATTGCCGGCCACAATTTGAGACATTGTCCTTTTGTTCCCCAGCTAGGGATTGGGGACTTGTATTTTTCGACGGGAGATACGAGGATACAGCACAGCACAGCACAGTACCGCATCGTACATTAGGCATCAAGGCTGGTTCTGCTGGGACGTTCGACCCTACGCACGGAAACGGAGGTGCTCAAGTCCTTTGAATTTGAAGTTTGAGGCCTCTTGATATTGTCGTCTGTCGAAAAAGGATGTTGGGGCTCGATATCGCGGCGAAGCGGAAACGCGTGATTTCGGATTATCCGTACAGGCTGGAGTATCGGACACGATGGTAAGTACACCCACTTCAGCACCAGCAGCGGCACCAACACTTGCACCGTCAATGTACCTCTTTCCGTCTTTCTTTTTCTCTGGCCCATGTGTTCTATCTATTTGAACCAGTCCCTAATAAACGGCCCCTCGCTAACCCCCGGGGGTGGACTTTGCAGGAGCGACAACGACGTCT